ATATTAATCAGCTTGGTTACAATTTGGAAAACCTGGAATTTGTTCACAATGTATTATTTTCCATTATTCTTTTTCTAAGTTGCAGAGAAAAAGTTATAATTTGCCCAGACTATATTAAGAATAAATTGTAACCAAGCTGATTAATATTAAACTGTTAAATATTTAAATGCATTAATATGTATTTATTATAATTAAATATCAACTTGTATCCTTCTTTGTTTTTATTAAACTGCAATTTTTTTGAAATTTTTAAAACTATTTCATTTTTCTTTGAATAAACTTAAAAAGGCTTTAAATTTGCTTGCGATAACTTTTGTAATACAATTCATATATAATTTTGCCAACAATACTGTAAAATAGTAAAAATACATTTTAACCTTGTAAAAAGACAAGAATCTAAAAAATTGTTATTTCCGTGCTGATGTACTCAAAAGTATGGGTAGTCTGCAACACTGAGTGATTATCAAAACAAATATTTTTGCTCCCGATACATTTATATAGTATTCTATTATTACCGTATATAAAATGTCATAATGACACATTACAATTGCGTTATACCGGTAATTTTAATACTATACAATATATTTTTTAATAGTTATATAATAAATTTAATTTGATTTTTAAATTTATACTGTATCATTTATAATCAATGAATTAATTTTTCACTAAACACTTATTAATGAGTTTAATTTGTAGAATGTTTAATATTCTAATAAAATTATTACTTCTATAATGTGGTAATAATTACACATATTATGGATTTTTAATATTATCAAAAATATTGACTCCAAAACTCATTATATACGCGACCGTACGGGTCATCCATTGGTGGTAGAGTTGGCGAGGGATTTAAATTCTTCACTTTCGGCACATTATTGTCACCTAACAATTGCGGCCATTTATCGCCCGGCTTACTATATATGAGAAGAAAATTATTTAAAATTTATTAACTATTTATTAACTAAATTATATAAATTATAATTTTTCAATGAACCCATATTTTGCGAAATTAGTCCACATTCTCATCACATCTCTACTGAACTGGGCGTCGGTATCACTGAACAGGTGAACCATGCCATGCCATGGGGTTAAACCCCATCCAAATACAATGGGTATATCCATCCCGTGTGCGACACTCGACATCTCATCACCACATTTAAAAATATCTGCGAATGCCTTACTCTGATATGTCAACTCATAAAAGTAGACATTTTTGCCACTTTTTTGTGTATTTATAGCAAACTGTTTGGCGAATAGATATGTCGGGTATTTCATGTATATATCGCCGTAAAACTCATAAAAGGCTCGTCTGACTGCCGATGAACTTTTTGTGTCGACACCTTTCAGGTAATAGTCGACCACTTTTTGAACGTCCAATTCATGAAACATTTTGTCCCCCACTTGAACGCCATGTTTGAAGTGATCAACAGACATGACTTCATCTAATGGTGGCAAGTGTTTGACTGCCAGGAGTGACCCCTCATTTGAGTTTATGCCCGCAATTAAGTCGATGTCTGTATTAATGTTAAAAATAGTTTATAAAATGTTATTTATATGTAAATTAAGTCAAACCTGAATTGAATTGATTGGTTTCAAAAGCCTTTTGTGCGGAAAGGGGCAGAAACTCAGTGCCAAATACTGGAGGTGTCGATGGTTTAGTCTTAGCCACCAATTCCTTTGGGTCGACATTTCGCAAAAACTGTAACCAATCTTCAGATTCACTACAACCCAAGTCTTTCGCTAATTCTTTACCTTCTTTTAAAGCTTCAGATTTGGTGATCATATGCCTGTCTTTGTTGAAAAGTTGAGCTCCGCTTTGCATAATAGCCCTCTTAAACAGTCCTTTTGATAGGGGAGACAATATGTGAGCCGATACGGACCAACTGCCGGCGCTCTCACCAAATATAGTGATCTCATCCCTATCCCCACCAAATGCATGGATGTTTTCTCTAACCTATGATTGATTATGATAATTAATTTAAAATCAATACTTTCATTATAGCTTTGAATGAAATATAACAATAATTTTATACCCATTTAAGAGCCAATAACTGGTCATAAAAACCTTGATTTCCAGGCGCGTCCTCCCGTTCCCCGTATAAGAAGCCAAAGTGAGCTAATCTATAGTTTATGGACACAAACACCACATCATATGTGACTAGTGGTCCGCCACCATACATATCACTCGACCCCCAACTCAGACCCCCGCCGTGAATCCAAAACATGACTGGTTTTAGTGCCGGTGCTTCGGATGACTGATCATTGTTTCGCACATTAGGTGTACATATGTTTAGTACCAAACAGTCCTCACTTTGAATTTTGGGTGAACTCATTCCCGTATACCCTGATCCTTTTTGCATACACCCATTGCCAAATTTAGTTGCATCTATTATACCCTTTTAATAACACAAATATTTATAAATTAATTCATTAATTATGTATATTTTAAACTTACTTCTAAAGGCTTTTCAATGGGTTGTGGTTTTGCAAACCTAAGCGCACCCACCGGTGGTTCGGCATAAGGTATACCCAAAAACTGGTACACATTTGTATTGAGCACTTGTATTGTCTGACCCCTCACTACACCCGATGTAGTCTTCACATCAGTCATATTGTTATGAGCCATGTTATTTTATAAACACCAATAGTAAAATATTAAGTTAAATGTTAAATGTATATAACTATTTTGAAATCATTATATGTCCTTAGTATTTTATAGTAGAGATTACAAAGCGTTTTTTAAATGATTATTATAACCTTGGCCAGTTCAATTATTAAGAGTCAAAGTTAAATACTGTACAATTATACTGATAAAAATTAGTATTAAAGTGTTTTACACAAATTACTTCAATTTATAATAAGTTATTATTTATAAGTATTTGTCAAATTTAAATAATTGCCAATCGATAATTGTACTAATATCAGGGTGAAATAATGTGATAATTACTAATAACTATTAAAAATATTTTATAATTTAAGAGTTACTTTAATTATAGTCCTTACTTCATTTTTACGTTTTTAAAATTAACTATAATTAGGATTTAATTTTAATATAAATATAATATATCAGAACAGTAATTCAGTATCACAATAATTGTTACTAATCATTGATGTTACATATAAAAATTTGTTGAAAATTTAAAAAGTTTCATATTAAAATCAAAAATATTGACTCCAATTGTCAGTATAAACTCGACCGTACGGGTCATCCATTGGTGGTAGAGTTGAGTCGGGATTTAAATCTTTCACTTTCGGCACATTTTTATCACTCAAAAGTTGCGGCCATTTATCGTCCGGTTTACTATATATGAGAAGAAAATAATTTTAAAATACTTAATTCAATTATAAACTTTTCAATGAACCCATATTTTGCAAAATTAGTCCACATTCTCATCACATCTCTACTGAACTGGGCGTCGGTATCAGTAAAAAGGTGTGCCCTGGCCGGTGTGAAACCCATACCAAACACAAAGGGTAAGTCCATAATGTGTGCGGTACGGGATATCTCATCATCACATTTATAGATCTCTGCGAATGCCTTACACTGATGTGTCAATTCATAAAAGTAGACATTTTTGCCACTTTTTTGTGTATTTATAGCAAATTGTTTGGCGAACAGATATGTCGGGTATTTCATGTATATATCGCCGTAAAACTCATAAAAGGCTCGTCTGACTGCCGATGAATTGCTTGTGTCGATGCCTTTCAGGTAATAGTCGACCACTTTTTGAACATCCAATCCGTGAAACATTTTGTCCGCCACTTGAACGCCATGTTTGAAGTGATCAACAGTCATGACTTCAACTAATGGTGGCAAGTGTTTGACTGCCAGGAGTGACCCCTCATTTGAGTTTATGCCCGCAATTAAGTCGATGTCTGTATTGATGTTAAAAATAGTTTATAAAATGTTATTTATATGTAAATTAAGTCAAACCTGAGTTGAATTGATTGGTTTCAAAAGCCTTTTGTGCGGAAAGGGGCAGAAACTCAGTGCCAAATACTGGTGATGTCGATGGCTTAGTCTTAGCCACCAGTTCCTTTGGGTCGACATTTCGCAAAAATTGTAACCAATCTTCAGATTCACTACAACCCAAGTCTTTCGCCAATTCTTTACCTTCTTTTAAAGCTTCAGATTTGGTGATCATATCCCTGTCTTTGTTGAAAAGCTGGGCTCCACTTTGCATAATAGCCCTCTTAAACAGCCCTTTCGATAGGGGAGACAATATGTGTGCCGATACGGACCGACTGCCGGCGCTCTCACCAAATATAGTGATCTGATCCCTATCCCCACCAAATGCATGAATGTTTTCTCTAACCTATGATTAATTATGATAATTAATTTTAAATCAATACTTTCATTATAGCTTTGAATGAAATAATAATAATTAACAATAATTTTATACCCATTTAAGAGCCAATAATTGGTCATAAAAACCCACATTTCCGGGCGCGTCCTCCCGATCCCCGTATAAGAAGCCAAAGTGAGCTAATCTATAGTTTATGGCCACAAACACCACATCATGGGTGGCGAGTGGACTGCCGTTATACATATCACACGAACCATTACTAAGACCCCCGCCGTGTATCCAAAACATGACTGGTTTTAGAGATGAGTCATTGTTTCCCACATTAGGTGTCCATATGTTTAGTACCAAACAGTCCTCACTTTGGTTGGGAATTACCATCTCAGACCATGATGACTTATTTTGTATGCATGCGTTTCCCGGTTTCGTTGCATCTATTATACTCTTATTGTAGTAATTACGCAGAAATATTAGCATTTATTTGATTTGACTATTATTGTATTTATACTTACTTCTGATGGCTTTTTAATGGGTAGTGGTTTTGCAAACCTAAGGGTACCCACTGGGGGTTCGGCGTAAGGTATACCCAAAAATTGAAACACATTTGTATTGAGCACTTGTATTGTCTGACCCCTCACTACACCCGATGTAGTCTTCACATCAGTCCCATTGTCAATATTGGATGACATATTAATTTTACAAATTTATTTCTGAACACTATTAATAAAATGACGATAAATGAATAAACTAACTTTTTAAAATTATGTGCTATTTATATAATGTTACTGAAAAGTGTGATTATAACTAACGCACTAACATTGCACTGACTACACTAAAATATGTACTTAATTCACAATAAATGATCTTTTCCTGATAAAACATATTTAAACACTTATCCAGAATAACCTTCAATTGCAGTGATTATCAAAACAAATATCTTTGCTTCCCATACATTAATATAGTATTTTATTATTACCGTATTAATATAAAATGTCAAAATAACAAATTACAATTGCGTTATACCGGTAATTTTAATACTATACAATATATTTTTTAATAGTTATATAATTAATTTAATTCAATTTTTTAATTTATAACGTATAATTTATAATCAATGAATTAATTTTTAAATAAACCCTAAATAATGAGTTTAATTAGAAAAATGTTTTAATAATAAAATAAAATTATTACTTCTATAATGTGGTAATAATTACACATATTATGGATTTTTAATATTATCAAAAATATTGACTCCAAAACTCATTATATACGCGACCGTACGGGTCATCCATTGGTGGTAGAGTTGGGGCGGGATTTAAATTCTTCACTTTCGGCACATTATTAGCACTCAATAGTTGCGGCCATTTATCGTCCGGTTTGCTATACATATGACAAACATTAGTTAATTTCATATTTAGACAAATAATAAATTATTTATAAATTATTAAATGAACCCATATTTTGCGAAATTAGTCCACATTCTCATCACATCTCTACTAAACTGGGCGTCGGTATCACTGAACAGGTGAGACATTTCTTGCGTGTTAAATGTATATAACTATTTTGAAATCATTATATGTCCTTAGTATTTTATAATAGAGATTACAAAGCGTTTTTTAAATGATTATTATAACCTTGGCCAGTTCAAGTATTACTTATTACTTCAAGTATTAAGAATTAAAGTTAAATATTGTACAATTATACTGATAAAAATTAGTATTAAAGTGTTTTACACAAATAACTTCAATTTATAATAAGTTATTATTAATAAGTTTTTGTCAAATTTAAATAATTGTCAATCGATAATATATTAAAAATAAAACTAAATTCATATTTAGCAAATATTAATTATGATTAAATCTGTTATGCTTTTAATGGTTATTTGTTTTGTTATTGAATAAAAAGTAAACGGGTCTAGATTAAATTTTATTATTATTATTACAGTTAGTTTTTAAGTATTTACATATAAACCAGAAGTACCCTTCATTATTGAACATTGTAGAGTATAATTGTACTAATATCAGGGTAAAATACTGTGATAATTATTAATAACTATTAAAACTATTTTATAATTTAAGAATTACTTTACTTTAAGTATAATCCCTAATTCATTTTTAGTTTCAAACTCATCAATAAAATTAACTATAAATATAATTAAGTTTTAATTTTAATATAAATATAATATATCAGAACAATAATACAGTATCACAATAATTGATTACTATTTTAATAATCATTGATGCTACATATAAAAATTTGTTAAAAATTTAAAAAGTTTAGTAAATTCAAAAATATTGACTCCAAATGTCATTATAGACTCGACCGTACGGGTCATCCATTGGTGGTAGAGTTGGCGAGGGATTTAAATTCTTCACTTTCGGCACATTATTATCACTTAAAATTTGCGGCCATTTATCATCAGGTTTGCTATGTATAAGAAGAAATCAATTTTAAAATAATTAATTAAATTTTAAAGTTTTTCAATGAACCCATATTTTGCGAAATTAGTCCACATTCTCATCACATCTCTACTGAACTGGGCGTCGGTATCAGTAAAAAGGTGAGCCCTGGCCGGTGTGAAACCCATACCAAACACAAAGGGTAAGTCCATAATGTGTGCGGTACGGGATATCTCATCATCACATTTAAAGATCTCTGCGAATGCCTTACACTGATGTGTCAATTCATAAAAGTAGACATTTTTACCACTCTTTTGAGTGTTTATAGCAAACTGTTTGGCGAACAGATATGTCGGGTATTTAATGAGTAGGTCTCCGACAAACTCATAAAAGGCTCGTCTGACTGCCGATGAATTGCTTGTGTCGATGCCTTTCAGGTAATAGTCGACCACTTTTTCAACATGCAATCCGTGATACAATTGATCGGCCACTTGGACCCCATGTTTGAAGTGATCAACAGTTAATGTCACCTCATTAGGAGGTAGAAAGCTATTTGATAGGACTGACCCCTCGTTTGAAGTTATGCCCGCAATTAAGTCGATGTCTATTATAATATAATATAATATATTATATGGATGTCAACACATATCTTATAAAACCTTTAATTTATGAAAAATGTTTAAAATAATTGCAAACCTGAATTAAAATGATTGGTTTCAAAAGCCTTTTGTGCAGAAAAAGGTAGAAACTCAGTGCCCAACACTGGGAATGTATTTTTATTAGTCTTAACCACCAGTTCCTTTGGGCCAACATTTCTCAAAAACTGTACCCAATCTTCAGATTCACTACAATTTAATTCATTCGCCAAACGTTTGCCTATTTCTATGGCTTCAGATTTGGTGATAACATCCCTGTCCTTATTATACATATGGGCTCCACTTTGCATAATAGCCCTCTTAAACAGGCCCTTTGATAGGGGAGACAATATGTGTGCCGATACGGACCAACCGCCGGAGCTCTCACCAAATATAGTGATCTGATCCCTATCCCCACCAAATGCATGAATATTATCTCTCACCTATAAGTATTTATAACATTAATAAATGTAAATAACTCTATTATATAATATTTTAAGAAAATAGTATTAATTTTATACCCATTTAAGGGCCAATAATTGGTCATAAAATCCTTGATTTCCGGGCGCGTCCTCCCGATCCCCGCATAAGAAGCCAAAGTGAGCTAATCTATAGTTTATGGACACAAACACCACATCATGGGTAGCGAGTGGACCGCCGTTATACATATCACACGAACCCATCCTAAGACCCCCGCCGTGTATCCAAAACATGACGGGTTTCAGTGGTATTGGTTTCGATGAGTTACTGTTTCCCGCATTAGGTGACCATATGTTTAGTACCAAACAGTCCTCACTTTGGTGGGGAACTTGCAACTCTGACCATGATGACTCTTTTTGCAAACATGCGTTACCTGGTTTAGTGGCATCTATTGTGCCCTTTATATAATAATTATAAAACAATTGGAGTTATTAGACTATTTGTATAATAATAAATAATAAATACCTCAAATGGTTTTTTAATGGGCTCTGGTTTGGCAAACCTAAGTTCACCCACCGGTGGTTCGGCGTAAGGTATACCCAAAAACTGGTACACATTTGTATTGAGCACTTGTATTGTCTGACCCCTCACTACACCCGATGTAGTCTTGACATCAATCTCATTGTTAACATTGTATGACATATTGATATGAACTATATTTTTAAATCCAATTAAATGAATAACAACAAAATTGTAATGTAATATTAGTTTTTATTTAATATTTAATTTTATTTATTTCATACATTATGCACTAAACACTCACTTTTGTATTTTTTATTTTAAGATTATCATAAAAATTCACTCCGATGTGGGCCCATACACTTTCATAGGGGAGGCCTACTTACAGGGATAAGTTTGATCGGTGTGACTTAAATTTGTGAGACGTTGTGGTACAGCTCTGATTAAAGGTGTCTATGAAATGAAGTGATCAATTGCTTCAAATGTGAGACCTACCTGAGACTTAAATCTACTATGAATTGCACTATAAGAAATAAATAAAATGATACAAAACAGTCTATGCTTGGCCTTCAATTCAAATAATTATCTCTATTTATAAGTCTGGCAATTATTAAATCTAATGGTGGTATTCATAAACAAATTGAACTTTAATTTTAAGCTGGACCTTATATTGCATCCTAGGCCACTTATCTGATCACTTTCATAAAACCAGCTTAACTCTTTATTTTAAGATTATCTTGAATTCACTCCGATGTGGCACTTTCATAGGGGAGGCCTACTTACATGGATTGGATCGGTGTGGGACTTAAATTATTGAGATGTGATACGTTGTTTAAGGTACGGCTCAGATTAAAGGTGTTTATGACACCAACTGCGCCATTGCTTACATGAATTACAATATAAAATACTTTTACAAAATTAAACAATTATTTTTCCCAAAAAATTATTTATTCTGATCCACATATTTTTAATTTATTTTTAAAAATATTGACTCCAAATGTCATTATAGACCCGATCGTACGGGTTATCCATTGGTGGTAGAGTTGGGTCGGGATTTAAATTCTTCACTTTTGGGACATTATTAGCACTCAATAGTTGCGGCCATTTATCGTCCGGTTTACTAAATATATGCGAAAAACCACAGAATTAGTGACAATTTATATAATAAATAAAACTAAAAATATTATTAAACATTATAATAATTTAATAAGTTAAATAGCATATAAATTAACTTCTAAATTATTTGGTTCAATGCAATTTCATTTTTACCCATATTTTGCGAAATTGGTCCACATTTTCATGACATCTCTACTAAACTGGGCGTCGGTATCACTAAACATCTGAGCCATTTCTGGTGTGAAACCCCATCCAAACACAAAGGGTAAGTCCATGGCGTGTGCGGTACTCGATATCTCATCATCACATTTAATCATCTGAGCGAATGTCTTGCAGTGATGTGTCAACTCATAAAAGTAGACATTTTTACCACTCTTTTGGGTATTTATAGCAAACTGTTTGGCGAACAGATATGTCGGGTATTTCATGAAGAGATCACCGAAAAACTCATAAAAGGCTCGTCTGACTGCCGATGAATTGCTTGTGTCGATGCCTTTCAGGTAATAGTCGACCACTTTTTGAACGTCCAATTCATGAAACATTTTGTCCGCCACTTGAACGCCACGTTTGAAGTGATCGATAGTCAGTGCCTCATCTTTCGGGGGTAGGAGTAGGGCTGATAGCAATGACCCCTCGTTTGAGTTTATGCCCGCAATTAAGTCAATGTCTGTATTCATGTCACAAAATAATAATCAAAATCTATATTGCATTTCAATGTTTAAAATTTATGACAACATTATCATACCTGAGTTGAATTGATTTGTTTGGAAAGCCTGCTGAGCGGAAAGTGGTAGGAACTCAGTGCCCAACACTGGGAATGTTAATGGTTTAGCCTTTTCAGCCAGTTCCTTTGGGTCGACATTTCTTAAAAACTGAACCCAATCTTCAGATTCATTACAACCCAAGTCTTTTGCTATACTTTTGCCTATTTCTATGGCTTCGGATTTACTGACAGCATCCCTGTCCTTGTTGTACAAATGGGCTCCACTTTGCATAATAGCCCTCTTGAATAAACCCTTTGATAGGGGAGAGAGTATGAGTGCCGATACAGACCAACTACCGGCGCTCTCACCAAATATAGTGATCTGATCCCTATCCCCACCAAATGCGTAAATATTTTCCCTCACCTATTAGTATAAGATTTATTATATAAATTTATATATACTGTACAATTGTTATCATTATAACTTAATTGTAATAATTTTTATACCCATTTGAGTGCTAATAACTGGTCATAAAATCCCTGATTTCCGGGCGCGTCCTCCCGATCGCCGTATAAGAAGCCAAAGTGAGCTAATCTATAGTTTATGGCCACAAACACCACGTCATGGGTAGCGAGTGGACCGCCGTAAATAACTGGTCATAAAATCCCTGATTTCCGGGCGCGTCCTCCCGATCCCCGTATAAGAAGCCAAAGTGAGCTAATCTATAGTTTATGGCCACAAACACCACGTCATGGGTAGCGAGTGGACCGCCGTTATACATATCACACGAACCAATACTAAGACCCCCTCCATGTATCCAAAACATGACGGGTTTTAGAGATGTTTGTTTCGATGAGCTATTGTTTCCCACATTAGTTGTCCATATGTTTAGTACCAAACAGTCCTCACTCTGGTTGGGAATTACCATCTCAGACCATGATGACTTATTTTGTATGCATGCGTTTCCCGGTTTTGTAGCGTCTATTATACTCTTATTGTAATAAATACGCAGAAATATTAGCATTTATTTTATTTAACAATTATTTTGATACATACTTCTGATGGCTTTTTAATGGGTTGTGGTTTTGCAAATCTTAGAGCACCCACTGGGGGTTCGGCGTAAGGTATACCCAAAAATTGATACACATTTGTATTGAGCACTTGTATTGTCTGACCCCTCACTACACCCGATGTAGTTTTCACATCATTGTCAACATTGGATGACATATTAATTTTCTGTTGATCTACTTGTGAATACCATTAATAAAAAGACGATAAATGATAAACTAACTTTTCTAAAATATGTGCTATTTATATAATGTTTAATACTAAGTTGACATTGTTGTATGTTTACGCCTAATGCACTATCACTGCACTGAATACACTAAAATATGTACTTAATTCATAATAAGTGATCTTTTCCTGATAAAACATATTCAAACACTTATCCAGAATAACCTTCAATTGCAGTGATTATCAAAACAAATATTTTTGCTCCCTATACATTTATATAGTATTTTATTATTACCGTATTCATATTAAATGTTATAATGACACATTACACTTGCGTAATTTTAATGCAATATATTTTTTAATGGTTATATAATTAATTTAATTCAATTTTTTAATAAATAACGTATAATTTATAATCAATGATTTAATTTTTAAATAAACCCTAAATAATGAGTTTAATTTGAAGAATGTTTTAATATTAAAATAAAATTATCACTTCTATAATATGGTAATAATTACACATATTATGGATTTTTAATATTATCAAAAATATTGACTCCAAAACTCATTATAGACTCGACCGTACGGGTCATCCATTGGTGGTAGAGTTGGCGAGGGATTTAAATTCTTCACTTTCGGCACATTATTAGCACTCAATAGTTGCGGCCACTTATCGTCCGGTTTGCTATACATATGACAAACATTAGTTCATTTTATATTTACACAAACAATAAATTATTTATAAATTTTTCAATGAACCCATATTTTGCGAAATTAGTCCACATTCTCATCACATCTCTACTGAACTGGGCGTCGGTATCACTGAACAGGTGAGACATTTCTGGTGTGAAACCCATACCAAAAACAAACGGTAAGTCCATTGCATGTGTGGCACCGGATATCTCATCACCACATTTAAGGATCTCTGCGAATGCCTTACACTGATGTGTCAACTCATAAAAGTAGACATTTTTATCACTCTTTTGAGTGTTTATAGCAAAGCTTTTGGCGAAAAGATATGTCGAGTATTTCATGTATATATCGCCGTAAAACTCATAAAAGGCTCGTCTGACTGCCGATGAACTGTTTGTGTCGATGCCTTTCAGGTAATAGTCGATCACCTTTTCAGTATCCAATCCGTGAAACATATGGTCAACCGTTTGTATCCCTCGTTTGAAGTGATCGATAGTCATGGTCTCATCCACTGGAGGCAGGTGTCGACCCGATAGCATTGACCCCTCATTTGAGTTTATGCCCGCAATTAAGTCGATGTCTGTATTGATGTTAAGAATAATTCACAAAATGCTAAGCTATCGAAATTTTAGCAACTATGTCAATTAAGTCAAACCTGAGTTGAATTGATTAGTTTGAAATGCCTTTTGTGCTGAAAGGGGCAGAAACTCAGTGCCAAACACTGGGAATGTGACCGGTTTATTGCCATCCACCAGTTCCCTCGGGTTTACATTTCGTAAAAACTGTAACCAATCTTCAGATTCACTACAACCCAAGTCTTTCGCTTTTTGTTTGCCTTCTTTCAACGCTTCAGATTTACTGATCACATCCCTGTCCTTATTATACATATGGGCCCCACTTTGCATAATAGCCCTCTTAAACAGACCCTTCGATAGGGGAGACAATATGTGCGCCGATACGGACCAACTGCCGGCGCTCTCACCAAATATAGTGATCTGATTCCTATCCCCACCAAACGCGTGGATATTATCTCTCACCTATTTTTATTATTTTTATATGGTTTTATTAGTATATTAATATAAATTAAATTATATAACTTACCGTATCAAATTCTAAATTAAAAAATAATTACATACCCATTCGAGTGCCAATAACTGGTCATATAAGCCCTGATTTCCAGGTACGTCATCCCTCTCCCCGTATAAGAAACCAAAGTAACCTAATCTATAATTTATGGCTACAACTACCACATCATGTGTAGCCAATGGTCCGCCGTTAAACATATCACTCGACCCCCAAATAAACCCCCCGCCGTGTATCCAAAACATAACGGATTTAAGTGGTGTAGGTTTTGATGAGTTATTGTTTCCCATATTAGGTGTCCATATGTTTAGTACCAAACAGTCCTCACTTTGGTGGGGAATATATATGGATAATGGAGATTCTTTTTGCATGCATGCATTGCCTGGTTTAGTTGCATCTAATATGCCCTTATTGTTATAAATACAAAACATTATAATTTACTAATGTTACATGGGTGATACATACTTCTAATGACTTTCCAATGGGTTGTGGTTTTGCAAACCTAAGCGCACCCACCGGTGGTTCGGCGTAAGGTATACCCAAAAATTGATACACATTTGTATTGAGCACTTGTATTGTCTGACCCCTCACTACACCCGATGTAGTCTTCACATCAGTCTCATTGTCAACATTGGATGACATATTAATTTTACCAATGAAAAATTTATAAACACAATTAATAAAATGCAAGTGAATGCAAAGTTAATATTTTAATACACAAAGTAACTATTACACTAAATATGTATTTATATTAAATTCTTATTAAATGTTCATAAATCATACAATTATTCAAAATAACCTTGCAATGATTATCTAAACCAGGGAAAGAATGTTTTTAACATACTGTATACATTATAATATAATGATTATATGGTTTGTTATAATTTATATTCCATTGGTTGGAAAGTTTTCATGGCCACATAAATAATAATAAAATAAAATATTATACAATCAAATACTAATAATTTTTTTAATATTTTAATAATACATATGTTTACTTATCTAAAATGTCGTTATTTACAAATTATATTTATAAACTAAACCGAAATTTTGAATTTTATTCATTATTATTTAAACATTGAATTTCGTATTCAAAGACAAATTTAATTTACTTTAAACAGTAAGATCAGGAACATTTAAAAACTTTTTATTTTAGAAACGAGCTTTAAAGGCAATTTATTTTATTTATTAATCACAAGAATATAATATATTCTATACAGTATATTATACTGTACACTTAAATGTATATCCTTATAAATTTAATATAAGACAATACAGACTAAAAGTAAGGACTGGTATCCCGAGTGGTCAGGAAGAACCGGTTGCCTCGAGTACTGTCCGCAAACTGATGGGACTGTACGGCCTGTTCCCCTATAATCGCACATTTGCTACCATTAGTCCCACAATCGTTGCACTGGCCTCGGAGGTAGGCGTCGTAATCACTGCACTGATGTCCCACACCTTTCCGGTTATTGGCATTAATAGTAGCCGTATAGAAGTCCACAGCCCTCTGATGGCTACAGTATATCAAGCGTCTGGCGCTCTCAACAGGGTCTTAAATTTGATACGAGAATATTCTTTATTAAATTCTTGACGATTTTAAGCATACATACCAAATGTGAGAAATGAGGTTAATATCTGTGCCCTACACCCAGGTTGTGGATCCTTTCCTATTGTAGTTTAACATACATTATTATAATCATAAATGTGCATGCTTATTTGTGTAATACTGACCTCCATTAGGATAAAAGTCCAAATGGCCGAATGTCTCATAGGTTCCGTAGCCCTTGGATCCGAACTTCGCATCCGTATGGATCGCATCCACGAATTTGGCCTAAATTTCAGTGCAGTTTAGTTACAATATGTTTAACATTTGCAAATTAGTAGGTTT